AAGCTTTCCAATGGCGCGTGGCAAAATTATCAAATTCAATTGGATCATACTTAAAATTTCAGAAAACCAAAAAAAAATAATAAAAACGGTAATTATTCAAGTGTAGCGATTATTTATTCAACGTTTTTCTCTTCCAATTAACACTTTCGAGTACTCTGTTTATCTGTGCACTGTCACATAAGTCTAAACTAAAATGGCGGATACAATATGGCCGCCAAAAATTTAAAAAATTTAAGAAATTAACGGATTTTTGTAAAACTAATACCAAAGAGTTTTTCTGTATGCTGAATACAAATCTCAAATCGAATTTTGAAAATTCAAAATGGCGGATCTAATACGATCACCAAAAATATTGAAAAATTTAAGAAGTTAACGGATTTTTATAAAACTTGGTATCAGATAATCAGGTATACGCGCAACGTATAATGAGACTGTCAAGTGTTTACTATCGTCTCATGACACATTACACCGTCCCTGTCTGTCCGTTGTATCGGACTCGTAAGTAGCAAACTATTTTCAATTATAACTCGAAAACTAAGCTTTGGACAAAATTTTGTAAAAGGAAAAATCGTCTCAGAATTCGCTCAAGAATATGGCATTGCAAGGACATCAAGGTTATTTTAAATCACCCTGTATATTAACTTACCCAACGCTGCTGTCAATTTCATTTATATTTTCTTCATTAGCACTTCCACTTATATAAGGTATCTGACAGTTCTCTTGACTTTTATCAGAGCTTTTATTTGTATCAAAATTTTCCATCGATAAACAACGTTTTTTACTAACCGTAGATGTCGATGGTTTTGATGTTGAATAATTTTCATCTAAAATCAATTTTTGTATGAATAATCCTTTAAATAATCTTTGCGGTTAACCTAAACTGTTCAAAATTGTTTTTCAAATTAAACTATTATAATTTACATTCAGATCCAATAAAACGGATTCGAAATATTCGAATATATGTTTCTAGATTTGAGAACAAGTTTACAGCTTTAGAACATTTATAAAAAAATAGTAACTTTATCTACAAATAATAATATAGTATATGTACGTACCTTGTTTCCGAATTGCACGAAATCTTTTAACACGCATTCGTGTTAATTTCCGATTTCTTTCTGTATGATCCATTCTGTATGATTATTACTTTATTTCAAACACAATATACACGATACGCACTACACGATCTTGTAACGTAACTGTAAATTAAACTGTTTATTAAACTCTTGATGTCAACTAGCTTAACCATCATATAATGGTTAGGTTAGGTTAGGTTCATAAAATGGTCATGCGCACATTCGATAAAGAATTTTAGAGAAAACCTGATCAAGGCACTGTTAGAATTGCCTGAATTTGGCGCTAATAGAGCAGCCATTATCCGGCGTTGACAAAGCCGGATCAGGCTTTCCACAATAAGGCATGCTGGAAAATTACCTGATAGCGCCCGGAATAAAATTCAGGCAAACCGTAACCATTTTCTACTCGGGTTATAGTACATGAGTAATCACTTCTCCTCAAAGTATATTATTGCGAGGACAACGCTTAGGGGTTAATCTGAGATTACCCTGAGTCCCCGATTGTATCGAATAATACCATAAGGACGACGCCTAGGGGTGAACCTAAACTCACCCTGAGTCCTCGGCTATACCGACCCGTGAAATCACACTGTTTCCACCGGACTTGTAACGTACTCGTATAACTTTCGTACTCGTATAATTTTCGTACTCGTATAAGACTGACTGTTCACTTCGAGAGCTACTAGGCGAATATTGTAAAACGGAAAGATGCGCGCCGCCACCAAGAGATCTTAGGACTTCCTCTAATTTGATCCGATTGGTGGTTATCAGTCTAAAATGCCGCGATTCGTCGATGTCGCATATGAAAAGTGGTGGCCACCACAAAAAACGCGGCATATCAAAGACGCCGCTATGAAAATATCATATTTATATTAAGAGATTTACAAGCCGGTATCGGAAACGTATTTTATGAGAATATATATTATTCATTTGTCGATCGAACCATCTGTCGTGCATGACATTTTATAGCGCTTATATAACATACTCCCCCCGTTGAGAAAGTATTCGATTAACTCTTTATATAGAGCCCTGACTAGTCAGTCGCATACATTTCGCATTAATTGTTATATATATAAAAATGTTCAATGATTGAACATCGCCAACAGATCTCGTATTATTCTGTTGGTAGCTTACAGAGGAGCTTTGTGACCCTCTTTATTATTCCGGTTGCTGTCTTAATCGTAGCTACTCGAGACACACCGTCTTCGCCTGGATGCAGTTCCAATATTTTGCCTAGAGCCCATTGTGAACAGGGTATGCTTTTAGACTTTATCAGAACGATCGTTTCGACTTCCAGACTCGTTCCGTCCTTGGTCCGCATCTGTAATATAAGGTATCTGTAATATAAGCAATTTGCTACGCATCTGTAGCTCGTTGAAATACTCCAAGTTCCATCGTGCCCAGAAATCTTGACGGACTTTCACGATATGTTGCCAGCTTGACAGTCTGTTGGCTGGAACATAGGTCGCCCTCCGGAAGGGTCGTTAGTGGTTTGCTAATAAGATAATGGGCCGGAGATAGTGCGAGCGAGTCATTTGGATCCGACGTAAAAGAAATAATTGGTCTCGAATTTAAGATGCTCTCGACCTCGGTAACAAACGTAGCTATTCTTTAAATGTGAAGAGTGAATCTCCTACGACGCGTTTAAAATGATGCTTAAACAACTTGACAGTGGCTTCCCACAACACGCCAAAATGGGGGGCAAACGGCGGTATGAAGTGCCAGTTGATTCTACACTCGCTAGAAAAATGATTTATTTTATCTTTATGTTGTTCGGAATTGAATAAAGCATACATTTCTTTTAGCTGATTATTTGCCCCGACGAAATTGGTTCCATTGTCCGAATAAATGTGGTCCGGTAACCCTCGTCTTGCGACGAACCGACGTAACGCCGCTAGAAATCCATCTGTCGATAAATCGCTTACAAGCTCAAGATGCACCACATTTATAGACAGGCATACAAATACGCATACGTACGCCTTCACACGCGTTCTATTACGATGCTTCTTTTCTTTCACGAAAAACGGGCCGCAAAAATCAACACCGGTATTAGCGAAGGGCGGTGCTTCGCGTACGCGAAACTACGGAAGATCTTCCATTTTATATTCTGTCGCGCTAGCGTGGAACTGGAAACAACGCGTACACGCACGCACAATCCTTCGTACCTAATTCCGGCCATCAGTTATCCAAAACCTCTGCCGTAATATGTATAAAGTATTCTGAATACTTGTATGATGATGCATCTCGTGTATTTCTTTGATTATACGATCAGTTAGAGGATGCCGACTTGGTAGTAAAATCGGATGTTTTTGCGCGAATGTTAATAAAGATTTTCGCAGACGACCTCCTACCCTTATCAAGCCGTTTTCATCAAGAAATGGACTCAAATTAATGATCTTACACTTATTTTTTAATTCCTCCCTTTGTTAAAGTTTTTGGATTTCATGAGTAAATCGAGTAGTTTGCAATAATTTTAATACTCCAATTTCCGCTGTGCCTATCTTTCTCGCGTTTAGCAATCCGGTATGCTTGTTAGACGACCGCCATCGTAAACAATAGGCCACAATTCTCAATAATTTAGAATAAGATGAGTATCTATCAAGTATTCAGAATTCATTGGATGTTACTAACAAGCATGCGTTTCTTTTAAGTTCCGGCACCGCATCTATTTGCATGATTTCGTTTGGCCATTCTGCTTCTTCCTTACATAACCATGATGGTCCTTGGAACCATATTTGATTCTGCAAAAATGTGCGAGGTAGCTGACCTCTCGATATCGTATCGGCTGGATTGTCGGCCGATCCTACGTGACGCCATACATTCGATTCGACAGTTTCTTGAATTTCGACTACGCGATTTGCCACGTATGTTTTTAGCAAATGCGGTGCAGTTCTTAACCAATGTAGAACTATGGTTGAATCACACCAAAAGACTACTTTGCTAGGCTTGATACCCATTGCAGCACCCGCTTCACGATACAAACGCGCTAGCAACAACGCGCCGCAAAGTTCAAATCACGGTATCGTCACTGTTTTTAACGGCGCGACTCGCGACTTGGCGCATGCAAGTCTGATTATTGTTTTCCCGAATTTATCCGTTGACCGCGCATACACACACGCTCCGTAGCTCCGACATTGCTAGCGTCGCAAAAACTGTGATACTGAATATCGCGACAGTTTTCCACTAAAAATTTGCGATCAAGGAAAATTTGTCCCACCGATTCCAGCTGCCGCGTAAATTCTAATTACTCGGAGTTAATGCTCTGAGGTACGGATTCGTCCCAATGTAGTTTGCATCGCTAAACGTCCTTCATCATTCTTTTCGCATGTAAAACAATGGGGCCCAGCAATCCTAATGGATCAAAAATTTTTGCGATCTCCGCCAAAATGCTTCGCTTCGTTATTTTTTCCGTGTTTTTTATGGGATGAACAGAATATTGTATCTTATCATCGCGCGCGTTCCATGTAATTCCTAACGTCTTCAAAGAACAATCTAGGTTCATTACGAAATTGGCAACGCTCCTTCCGGCAGATCATTAACGATTCGCTCATCATTTGACGCCCATTGTCTAATATTAAATCCTCCGCGAGCTAACAGAGCAATTATCTCATTTCTAATGACTCAAGTTTCCTCGACGATTTCGGCTCCGGTTAATAAATCATCCACATACAAATGTGCCTTGATGATTTTTTCCGCCCGGGGATACATGTGATTTTCGTCGTCCGCAAGTTTTTGAATCACGCGAATTGCTAGAAACGGCGATGACGCCACGCTGAAAGTAAGCGTATTGAACTGAAGTGTTTCGACTCTTTCGCCGACTCGCCAAAGTATTCGTTGAAACCGACGATCATCTTCGTGAAGCAACACCTGACAGTACATTTTTTCAACGTCTGCTGTTATAACGTAATTGTATGTTCGAAACCGCATTAGATGAGTGAACAGTTTGTTTTGAATTGTAGGCCCTACCATTAACGCTTCGTTCAACGATATGCCGTTGCTCGTCTTCGCGGAGGCGTCGAATACCACGCGCACCTTAGTAGTATTGCTTGTCTCTTTAATGACCGCGTGATGCGGCATGTAATATCCGTTATTTTCACAATCCCTTACTACTGTCATGTGCCCTAATCTTAAATGTTCTTCTATCACCCGTGTGTATTCGTTTTTCAATGTTTTATCGGCGTCAAATTTGCGTTCTAATGATGATAGGCGTCTAAGTGCCATTGCTCTAGATTCCCCCAAAGTCCCGGCGATCTTGCGAAACGGTAAGCGGACCTTATAACGTCCCTTCTTGTTGCGAAACACATTGTTCACGAAATGCCTTTCACGCTCTATTTTTTCCTCTGACCTTGACTTATCGGTGGCAACCTCTTCGATTTCCCAAAATTTTATTAATTGTTTTTCTAAACTCGTCAATTGACACGTCGCGGTATTACACTGAGTTTGCGCCGATGCGCTTCCCACAATCACCCATCCAAGCCGCGTTTTTTGTAAGAACAAATCATATCCATCTCGAGACAGATTAATTTGTCTAATTGAAAACAATGACAACGTTGCGCCTGATCCTATTATAAGATTGATTGAGTTTGGTACATGGAAATACGGATTAGCTAGCTTAATGTTTGGAGGTATTCTAACTCGTTCTCGCGGAAAGACGTCTGCCGGAATTCGATCCGTGATGCTTGGAATTATTAAACATGTTAATGTTTTAGAAAAATCATTATATCGCGAATGTATAGTAACTTGTACCATGCTCTTGGACATCGTATTCATCGCATTAATCGCTCTTATCGGTAGTGATTGTTTAACTATCTGCACGTTTAATTGTTTCACGATTGACTCGGAGATGAAGTTTGCTGTGGCGCACGTATCTAGCAACACTCGACATTGCACAACGTTTTGCTTACTTGTCCCGAATATCAACTAACGCACTCGTTAGCAGCTGTGGTGCGAAATGCAAGATTGTCGCGAGAATCGTTGCTTTATTCTCGGCTGCGTCATCTAGTCATCTTGAAGAATCCGCGGAACTCGAAGCATTCGGCGTGCCGGTTAATTTATCAAGATGTAACAAAGAATTGTGTCGTTTCTGACAGATCGTACAATTACTGAATTTACAGAGAGTTCCGCGATGCGAACGTAGACAGTTAAAACAAAGTTTAGCGTTCTTTATTAGTTCAATGCGTTCCGGAACAGATAATTTCTTGAATTTGTCGCAAGTATAAATAAAATGTCGTCCTGTTTTGCAAACTATGCAATTATGCGCTACATTTGATATGAAAACTCGATTGGACGAGCCTTCTCGTCGTTTCTTAAACGGGGGTTTGCCTTTGAGTTTGTCTGATTCCGATGCCTTTGATTTCTCGCGTCTCGACGCGCAGACCGCGATCTTATAAAGGAACTCAAACATTTTTTCGAGCTTTGGAAATTTGTTCCTATCCAACGTCCAATTTTTCGAGCGCATTCTTCGGCAATTTACTTTCTAAAATATGCACCACCATCTCTTCATCGACCGTGACCTCTAGAGAATTTAACGATGCAATATGTTGCTGTGCATCATCAGCCAGCTTCGTCAAACCGCTCGTACTTCCCTTATCTAGTACAGGCGAATTAATAATGGACGCAAGATGCCGCGATATCAAAATTTGTTTGACCTCGTACGACCTTTCCAATAATTTCCACGCGCTCGAGTAACTAATTCCTTCCACCGCAAGAATTTTTATTCTACTTACGGCCTCGCCCTTCAATGCTGATTGCAAATAATGCAGTTTGTCTATATCAGACAAATCCGACTGCGAGCCTACCATATTATTAAAAGCATTCTTAAAAGAAAGCCAGTTTTCGTATTTGCCGTCGAATGTAGGCAACGATGCCTGCGGCAACTTCATCTGACGGCGCGTATTACCTGTTCCGTTGACAGAATTATCATCGCGAACCTCTTCACTCGACGCGTTGCTATTCGTGCCTGAGGTACCGGCCACGTTAATGATTCTTTCTATCCGACCAGCAAGATCATAAAAGCGCTCTTGTATATTAAACAATTCCGCCATATACCCATCGTCAGAGTCTAATACCATAAGCTCATCGTTATTTTCTTCAAATTTATGATATAATTCTGTTACGCGAGCGATTCGTAATTTTAATGTTGCATTATCGAGCTTACCTCGGTCGAAAGCATTAGATAGAGTAGTGATTTGAGTTTTTAACGAACTTCGTTTTTGAGTCAAAAGTTTAATTCTTTTGGCCATTGTTACGCGCTCTGAATTATGTGAAGAATGTAAATCGAATAACTCACTCTGAATTCCCTGTGATGAATGCCGTGCGTTATTTCTGCCTTCGTATGATCTCCTCTGCACGAAGCCGTCTTTCCTTCGGTTGTGTATTTATGTGAAGCTCGTACCTTACAGGAGGCACCAAAATGTTCCGTTCAGCTTGGACAATTTAATGTCCGCACTGTTTTCATTTTTAATGCAATGCACAAACAATAAATAAAATTGCTGATTCAGAATGAGTTTATTTGTGTCACTTATAGTACATGAGTAATCACTTCTCCTCAAAGTATATTATTGCGAGGACAACTCCTAGGGGTTAACCTGAGGTTACCCTGAGTCCCCGATTGTATCGAATAATACCGTAAGGACGACGCCTAGGGGTGAACCTAAACTCACCCTGAGTCTTCGACTATACCGACCCGTGAAATCACACTGTTTCCACCGGACTTGTAACGTACTCGTATAATTTTCGTACTCGTATAAGACTGACTGTTCACTTCGAGAGCTACTAGGCGAATATTGAAAAACGGAAAAATGCGCGCCGCCACCAAGAGATCTTAGGACCTCCTCTAATTTGATCCGATTGGTGCTTTTCAGTCTAAGATGCCGCGATTCGTCGATGTCGCATATGAAAAGTGGTGGCCACTACAAAAAACGCGGAAGATCAAGGCAATGGCGGTTCAAAGTCGCGGCGGTCCTAACGCGATAGAACAAAAACGCGGCATATCAAAGACGCCGCTATGAAAACATCATATTTATATTAAGAGATTTACAAGCCGGTATCGGAAACGTATTTTATGAGAATATATATTATTCATTTGTCGGTCGAACCATCTGTTGTGCATGACATTTTATAGCGCTTATATAACACTTCTTGTTATTATTTTTTTGAATTTCAAAATTTTTGTAATGACAAAAGTTGTAGCATTTTTTACGCTGAATTCAACCATATATGATTTTATTATGTTTCGAAATTGCATCTTTCAAAAATGAGTCATTAGTATCGCACTATATGCGTTGCGCTACATGACGCATCGTTTATATCGTACTTGTGTTGCGCAATAGTCATTAAATAAATATAAAAATGACATGTTATCACATATTGGAGAAAGAAAAGTTAACTAAAATTGTTGCTAAAGCATCCCTTCCACATTACACCCTTATAGATAATTGCTGCATTTCGTGCGCAGCGCGTTGTCATATGCAAGTTAGCTACCCACACAACACATGGACGTCTTCGGGACATACCACATATGTCCTCAGATGTCCATTTTATGACGTCAGTTTTTGGACGTCGAAAGGACGTCCAAAGAACGTTTTATGGACGTTCCAAAATATTGTCTACATCTTTATGAGAGATAAGATGTTTTGAAGATGTCCTGGGAACATCCATAAAATGTCCCCAGGATGTCTGTGGTACGGCCCGAGGACATCTGTGGTATGACCCAAAGACGTCCATAATAATGTCTCAAAAGACATCCGTTCCCAGAGAATAATGTAATTCGTGCGAACTTACACATATTTATATTATATATACTATATTATATTATTAGTGTATTATACATATATATAATCATATATAATAAAAATATTTAATATATATATATACTTAATAAAAAGTTGAAAATAAAAAATTTAATAATACAAAAAATTTTTAATATAATATTTTTAACATTTTAAAATAATCAATTAAAAATACAAAAATTGGATTACTTAAAAATTGCAAATTTATTTTAATAAAAATTAAATACATAACAATAATAATCAATTATAAATGTCATAAATTTTATTTAAATAAATTGAAATTAATTATATAAAAATAAACTGAATTTAATTAATTATATAAGAACTTTTATTTATGTTTTATTGAGGTTTAAAAATCAGCTATTTAAATATTATATATTTTATTTAAGAAAATTGAAGAAATAGAAATTATTTTTATAAAAATTAAATCGATTTTTAATTGGATTTATTAAAAATATGTCAATAAAAAATAAATTGTACGTTTTAAATCATGTAATAAAAATATGATATAATTTATTCAAATAAATTAAAATTTTGTAAATAGTAAATAATTAAATAAATTAAAATAATAACAAATTACATTGATTACATTATAATTTATGTATAAACTGTACATTTTTAGTAATAATTTATTAATATTTTACAATACTTTACAATTCATTCCGTAAAATTAAATGCATTATACAAAAATGTTGAATTTATTAACAATTTGTTTTTTTAAATAAACAATCAAAAATTAATACATTTTAACAAATAGATGTAAGTAAAATTTATAAAAATTAAATTAAATAAAATAAATAAAAATTCAGATTTTTCAAAATTTTTTATTTTTTATAATCAGAATTAATTTTTGACTAATCATAATTTAATTTACATGCAATTACAAAATATATGTATATATGATTATTAAATATATTCATAAAATAAAAATATATATATATGTGTATATATATATGTATAAGGGCAGTTTCAGCGACATTTTCAAGTATAACTGGGCAGTTTTGACGACATTTGGCAGTTTTTACGACCGTCGTGGAAAATATCGCGGTATAAAGGCAGTTTTCACGACTGTAGTCATATCCACCTTTATACGGCTGTGTAGAATCGTGCCGGGTTTTGGTAAATGTTATTTAATTCCATATAATAAATACTGAATAAATTTTTTGTAAATTATTTATCAATACAATTAATAGTTTATAATTAATATAAATATTGCCAAAAAAAAGTATTCTTGTAGATAAAAAATTATTTTAACAAATTACAGGAAAAGATAAGACGTAAACGGCCAAGGCTAGTTGATCTTGCTACATTTATTGTAAACAATTCATCGGCCTTAAACTTCTAATTGTATTTTATTTATATTTTAAAAATTATTTTATTAAACGTAAATTGAAAATTTTAATTCCAAAAGAACATTAATTTATTTATATATTATTTT